CATGCACCACTCAATTCAGGTAGCAAAAGATATATCTTGACAATCTCTCTAAATAATACACCTCTCATAGTTTGTGCTAGATTTGTATTTTTTAAGATACAAAAAGTACTGAATCTTCAAATGACATAAAACAGTGCATTTATCTGATGAATGGTATGTGGAAATGACGTTGGGAGACAGGAGGAAGAGCCACAACTTAGACAATGGTCTGATAAATGAAATTTGAGTCCGAAGGTAGAGGCGTCTCAGAAAGGACCCTCCCTAGTTTTTGGGAGGGTAAAAGTGAGGGATGGAGAACTTTCAGTCTTGCAAGATTCTATTAATGTAACCTTACAATACAATAAAGATAGAGCTAGTATTCCTGGGTGTGCTTCTTGTCTGGACTCACAAGGCTGACATCTGAATACAAAAATTAAAAAAGACAAACACACAGAATAAAAAATATTTTGATTGTAACCCATAAATGTTTATGATGATCTTTTAAGATCCTCTTGTCTCTGTTATTATTGCTACAGCACAATATAAACAGCAACATACCTTAAGTTTTCTTAATTTCAAGTGAAGATGTCCGTATGTTGGAGGAGCAGACGTGTCTACCACAGGCTTGGCCATCAGGATCTGCAGCAGGAAAAAAAGTCCTTTTTATGTTTAATTTTCACTTGGAATAAATGAATCAATGAGGCTCTTAATGTTAGCTTGATGTTTAAATTCTAACTTATTTCATATCTGAAGTATGAAGCCACTGGCTCTTACTAGGCAACAATTATTTATTAGCCATTTCTCTCTCTATTGCAATTAGAATTCTAATGGTGTTGATAGGATTACAGGTAGTCCTTGCTTAACAACCATTTGTTCAGCGACCGTTAGAAGTTATGATGGCACCGAACAAGTGGTACTTACAACCGGTCCTTGAAGTTCTGGTCGTCCCAGCACCCCTGCGGTCATGTGATAACAATCCAGGTGCTTGGCAACCGGGTTGCAGCATCCCACGGTCATCGCCATTGGGACCTTCCCTGCCAGCTTCCCACAAGCAAAGTCAGTGGGGAAGCAGGCAGGAAAGGTCGCAAGTCACCCCTGTAAGTTGCTCCTGCTACTTTTTCTCCCAAGAGGCTAACTATGGAGTATGAGATCCTGGGGATCTCGTACTCCATAGTGTGCACCCATCCAGAGCACTCTCCCTCCCACCTGCACTTAGCAGCAGCCACCCCTCACCTGGCCATGCTCATGTGGTGCTGCAGTAGCCACTGGCACGCCCTCCCACACCTGGCAGCTGCTACCCCCCCCACCCGGTTGCACTTGTGCTGCGCCATGGCAGCCACCACTGCATTCTCCCATACCCAGGAGCAGCCCTCCCCCATCTGGCCATGCTTGCTGCAGCCACTTACCTGCCAGCGGCCTGCGGGGCTTGCAACTTCCTGCCTTCTTCCCCATTGACTGTGCTTGTTGGAAGGAGGCAGGTAGTCGGGAGGAGGTTCTCACTTAACGACCTGCAGTCCTCACTTGACGATGGCAACGGGACTGCCAGGATTGCTGTCTGTAATAAGTGATGCAGTTACGTGACATCACACTTTACAACTGCATCACTTAGTGACGGAAATTCTGGTCCCAATTACCATTCTTAAGCAAGGACTACCTGTATTGAAACATTGCAAGTGCTTTGAACATAATATAGTAACATGACATAACATACAGAAACATAATCCTGTACATATCTCTTCATAATTCACTGCACCTAACTCCCAGGTAAACTGCATATTCATTTATTCATACATTCATTCATTCACTGCATTTCTGGAAAATATCCTACTTGTTTGGTGGCTCTTATTCCCAGGACTCTTCTCATACAATTATAGCCTTGATCAGTTGGAACTAACTCAGGTATATGTTGCATATAGATACATGGAATTGCTCCATCATCATCACCATCACGGTTATTATTGTTGTATTTCTGTTCCACTCTATATCCCAGCCTCTTCTATTTAGAATTGTCACTCTCTATTACATTGCTCCTGTCTGTTTCAAACACCTATTTATTCCTCTTTTATCCCTTTTTAAAGTCCTCTATAACTATTTTCTACCTTGTAGCTCATTATGAAGGAAATCCAAGTTTCTACATTTGGTCATACAAGACACATTCCAGAATGTTATATTTGTAGGGTGTCTATTCAAAGTCATTTCCCTTAAGAGGTCTAAGAACAGAATAATAATACAGTAAAACTGTAATCAGTCTTAAGAAACAAATAGTTAAATGCTATAGAATCAAGATGAATTATACTGCAGTGTCACAAAGGGGCACACTTATCAGAAGGTAACAGATCAACACATTGATTAAGAATTTTCTCTAAGACTATGGTCCCATTGTTGCACCTGGGAACATCAATCTCCAGTGCTTTGTTTATAAGTGTGCTCACTTGCCAAGAAAAGACCATACAGTATTTCTGCAAATCTTAAATTTTCTGCAAGCCTCCTACTCCAGTGCTATGATTATTGGTACTTCTAAACTTCAAAAATAGAGGAAATTAATATCAATGGATTATTTTTCATCTTGAAAAAATCCTTTCATCTTAGTTTTAAAACAAACATATCAAATTAGATTTAGGCTCTTTATAAATGTTTATACTCATGGTAATAATAACGCTACTAATATAAAATCAATTTATTTACAGCAAAGTTCTCCTGTATCTTTTCAGCACTGATTAACCTTTGTATCAGAAAAATTATAATTTATTTGTAAAAGGACAGTGGTGTGGCATATGTATTTTTCCCCCTATGGACACATGATTCTGCATTTCTTGGATGGTATTAACTGTGGCAGAAAAAGGCCCATTGATAAATGCCATTGATAATGCTGTTTCATTGTGGAAATTAATAGCTCTGTTCAAATAATTAACAGAGGAAGTAGCTATACTTTGGAAAATGCTACATTTTTACTTGGAAGTATTTTGAGGTTGGAGAGGGTCTTGTACCTAAATTCTGGGTACTAAAATTGTATTTTGGCTTCAAATGTGAAGTTGAGAAGAACAGCATAGAGTGAATATCTATAAACAGGAAGGTAAGAGATGGGTAACAGTTCCTATCCTTGGTAGACATCAAAGGTATTTCCTTTCCACAAGTTTGCCTTGTGCACAGTGCTTTAGTTATCAGAGAGTTATGCTTACCTTTTTCTTATGCCCTTCATATGCAGTTTTGTCCCACTTCTGCTGAAGGTATTTACTGCCACATGGCAGAATTGGCTGGTAGGCACGATGCATCTTAAAACAACATAAAATATATCTAAATCTGGACTCCTTCAAAGAGTATGAGTCATCAGCTGGAACGTTCTTGGGCAAAGCTCTAACAACAGTGGTGTGTTTGCAACAGGTCATGTGGGGGTTGTCATGGTATCACTGAGGCAAAAATTGAATAGCTGGTGGTATCATTTTAAACAGTAACTTTGGGGAAACACCAAACAGGAGCTAAGGATTAAAGACCAAGGTTCCAAACAAACTCTTAGGTTATGTTAATCAGTGGATGGATCACATTTCTGTGATCTTGCTTAGCACTGCAATAACTAAGGAAAAGGAACAAGGCAGGTAATAATACACTTGATAACATTGTAGACAAAGACAGGTTTGCACAAATAAAACTCAGCTTTTTAGCAAATATCATGAAATCAGACACAAACGCATATCATTGTCATATGTGACTATTAATGCATCTATATAGCAATGTAAACAATATACTCATCAGTATAGAATGTAAAGGTGTACTTTATTTTCTAAAACAATTTAAAATAATGTCAAATCTCTTCACGTTCCTGTGTGAAAATGTTCTCAGTGTGTTAGGAGGTACTGGTGCTAGAACCAGAAACTTTGGAGACAGCCACTAGGAGATTAGCTTAAGAATCTTCCAGAGCAACCTTTCTCAACCTTTTGACCGTGGAGAAACCCTTGAAATATTTTTCAGGCCTCAGGGAACCCCTGCACCTTCAGGCTCAAATATAGGCCAGAAGTTACAAAATTATTATATTCGTTTCATGTGTAGGCCTGTATATATGCATTAACAGTGTTCTTAAACTAAAAATAAAGAATGCAACTTGCCCCTTTAATGTGAAATCCGTGGTTGTTTTTCGCTGCACAAATTACTCAATTCTGAGCCGAACGTGAGATAAGTACACATGGATTTCATCTTCAACTGAAATAAGACGATTTCTGTCTTTGCTTCTGATGCTTGTTAAATAAGAAAAAGTTTGCTCACACATATGGTTTGCCGCAAAGTGTGGAACCCCTTTCCCCCAGGTTCTGCCCAATGACCCTGAAGACGAGAATTGGCTGTTCTTCCTTTTATTGAAGCACTTCAAGAAAAAGGACTCCATCTCGCTAAAGGGAGAGGAGCCCCAAGCAAACTCTTACTTTTATTTTTATACTTGTTGGAAAAAAAGGGAATAAACATAATTGGTTACATTGAGATAAGAAAATAGGTATAATTGGTTACAATTATGTTGCACAGACGCACCTGATTCCATGTTACATATAAACATCCCATAATTAGCTTAGCATGCTCTATATTTTCTAAAATTCCCACCTTTGGGGGGGGTGTTTTGCTATGCTAATGAAGCAAAGGTCGGCTCTCAGTCAAGCCTCTAACTTTGCTAATTAAGCAAAGGTTACCTCTCGGTCAAGTCTCCAATTTACTGCATCCCTAACACTCCCCTTATCTCTAACATTCCTCTTTTATGCCAAGCCACCTGCAGTTTGACATGATTCACACTTACAAATCTCATCTTCTGACTACAAGGTCTTATTGCTGCTCTCAATATGAGAAGTTGAAACTGCAGCAAACGTTCGATGCCTTCCTATCAATGGCAGGATACTCTTCTTTCACAGAAATCCAGAACTTGTCCATGGGCAGATCAGTGAATCTCGATCAGACTGCAGCTCCAAAGTTCTTCCTCTTCCTTCAAAGTGAAGTTCTCAGGCTGAGTAGAAGATGCAGAGAAAGGATCCCTCACCCAGACATACATTTGTGTTGGAAGGGAGGGAAAGTACTGATCAATTTTGTTATGCAGTACTTCCAGGTGATTTTCAATTAGATTTGAGACTTTCTGGTATCCCTCCTCACTCTCAAGCCCAAGCAGCAGTAGAAACATTTCAGTATTTCTTTTTGCAACATGAGTTTTCCAAACATTCACTTTTCTTTTAAATCCAAGAATCTTGTCACTTGAAGTCAAGACATTTTTCTACAGTGCCTTGTGGAGACTTGTTCAACTGGTTCTTGTGATGAAAGATGTCCACTAAATATGTTAGTTTCTGCAACCATTCTCCATCTTCAAAGTACTCAGCAAAATGTGGAATACTAATTTCTCGAAAATACTCATACAATTCTGCCTTCAGCTCAAACACCCTGTTGAGCCACCATATTTCTGTGTGTAATGGGAGACTTACGTGCTCTTTGTCCAGGGTTTTACATATTTTTTAAACATTCTTGGGTGTCTTTAATAAAGTTAAAGACTTTAGCATTTTTGTAGCATCACTCAGAACTTTTTTTCATTTCACCTCCAAGAGTTTTTGATACCAGCGCCTCTCTGTGAAGAAAGCAGTGTATCGTGACAATATCAGGATTTTCATTTCTTACAAGAGTTAAAGTTGTTCTGGTCAATGAATTATATCCAGGGTCTGGTGTAGCCCTGCCAACTCAAGCTGACCACTGGGTCTTCTTGGAGAAGGAGGAGTGTCAAGTGCTGCTTATTTGGATGATGTTTATCTGAACATAAGGATCTTCATGGGTCATGGATATCTTTGTAAGATCATGCTTTGATTCTTGAAAAAAGTCCTTGCCTCCTACTGATACTATTCTATGGTCAGTGTTGACATAAGAGTTTTGGTTTGTTGTCTTAAATCTGATCTTGGCTGATCTCAAAAGTTAAGCGGGATCAGACCTGATTAGTACTTGGAGAGGACTAAGAAATGTCAGGATATAGACTAGCCTGGGAAGTTGAAAAAACATCCCTAAAGAAGGCAGTGGTTAAGTCATTTTCATACTGTGGCAAGAAAAGCTCTCCATAGTCACAAACACACCAGCAGCCAAGCTGAATTCAGAGAAAACCTTATATTTACCTTTAAATCACAAGGTCCCTTATTTATAATAGAGTGCAAAGAACTTGAAGCTGTGGAGTGTTGACCCAGACTTATTGCGAATAATTGTGAAAACTAAGTATCTAGAAGAAACACATTGGTTTTCTGTTAAAACATATGTATTACTTGCCATACTAATATCTGGAAGCTGCTCACCTAAGTGCATAATATATCTTTGAAAATGTAAATTGGATTGTTTAGTCTTGCAGCTGCTGTTGGTCTCTGCCATTTTAGAGAAGAAAATAAGCTTCAGGCTAAATGCTAGAACATGATAATCTGTTTGCCCAGTCCATTTTCCTGTATAGCAAAAACAACTTCATATACTTTAAGTAAATTGGGATTACTGTAACAGAAATGGTAACTGAAGTCCATTTGCCCTCAAGTAAAACCAAAATGAGCATTTTTCAGAAAACAAACTAGGGCCAATTTGAGATTTGCATTTTTCTTCTACAGTCCTCTATAAAGGTTTAATTTTATCGCTTTGCCATCTTTCCTGTTTCTCTCCTGTGCTGCTGTCCTGCTATTTTTATACGATGACAAGTGTATCACTGTTGTAAACTTCATTGGTATGTAGTTGATGTGTTTAGAAGTCTGTCAGTTAGATGCTGCTAACTGTGATGACGTGAAAATGGTGAAACATGCATCATGACGCCATTGGCATCTGAGGAAGACAGGTAATAAAATGTCTGTCATGACATTACAATGCAAGTCCACCCATCCAAACTTACATTCCAACACTGGACCCAAGTACCTAAGTCATGGAGTTCGGTTTCAGCTCCTAACCTTCTTGCTCTCCCTAGAGACACCTCTGGTTGCAAACCAGGGATTAAAAACAAACAAACAAACACCCTGCATATAGAAGTAGAATTTTCTATCAGTATTGGGACAGGAAAGGATCTGATGTTTTTAAAATGTATTGAACATTATTCATTTCTCCTTCTAAGAAATGGGGGAGATGGGCGGTGTATAAATTTAATAATGAATAAATAAATAAAACAAAAGAAGCTGTATATGATTTTCCTGTTACCCTGGCTTTAACTGCAGCAGCCCTTTGAGGTATTTTAGGCGAAGAGTGCCAGACTTCACACTAGGATTGGTGGTAAATCGTAGCTTCCCAGAGCCTTAACCATTTGCTCAGCACCTGACTACAGAGAAGATTCTCCGACATGACTGAGCTAAGTTAGAACCTTTATTGCAGATAAGAAAGAAGCTATGCAGAGCAACATGTTCAGAGCCTCTATATATCTGTGCTCTTGAGTATAAACTCATGGTTTATTCCTTCTGCTTTTCTGAGTGAATAGATACTTGGTGGTTTCTTTGAGCAAATACAATATGTTTATGTAACAGTCCTCTCTAGCCTGGGAACTAGTGATTCCTATTTTGTTAACTTTAGAGAGGCACAGAATGGGTTTCTGTGTTGTATTAAGTCATAATGTTGTTTAGCTATGTTGTATATTACAAACCAACCATTGTGGTTTAAAAACAGTGTATGGCTTAGAATGTTCTGTGGATCCAACGAGTTATGGGTTATTTATTAAACTATGAGTAATATGCCAACCCAGCTATAAGAACTGGCATAAAATCACTGGCGAAACACTAGGAGTCTAGCTCAGCTAAAAGTAGATGTTACCTTTACTATCTCAGGCCTAATTTGACACTCCAACCATTATCCTAATCGCTAAATTCTGTGAGTTTCTAAATTGGGACCAGATTCTGTTTCAGTTTTGCCTCTGGTCAATCAGTTTTCTTAACTTACCAAGTTCTGTCTCCTCCTACTTTTCTCTCTACAGAGTGGGAGGATATTTCTATTCTGTTTTAGGTCTGGCCTATAGCACAGGATGGCATTCCTGGCCATGTGTCTTCTGTATATTTATTGCTTCTGTCTGGTGGAATGGGAATGCTTTGTAGGAAGAGATTAAATGCTTGTCAAAAATGCTAAGGCTGATTTTTTTTCTCTCCTTGTTCTTTCTCTCTTAATTTTTCAGAACATTAATGCAGGACTTGATGTGATGAATAGCCAAGCAATCTGTACAGTACAACATATTTAGAACAGCATCTTACATTAGAGCTTTCCTATTCTAGCTAGTAACATTCCACAGCTGAAAGACCAGATTCACAGAGTATGTCTTCAAAAGGAT